CAAAACCACCCATCCCTACCCAGGACCCAGGCTCCCTCTGCTCCAGACAGAGCCTGAACTACCCCTCAACTCGCAGAACAGGAGGCAGATCCTGCAGAGAGCAGCAACTGGCATGCTTTTATTTCCTCCTGGGCCTGGGCCTGGGCCTGAGAGCTGCATACATACAAAGGCACTGGGGTATGTGGGATCTGGGAATAGCAAGGAGAGCGGGTGTCTGGGGAGGTAACTGTGAATGGATGTGACGGTGTGCAGCGACTGGAGGGATCCTCCCAGAACAGAAGGAAGGGCCTTTGGGGTGTTGAAGCAATGCAAGTGATGGGCTTGGCACAGGTTGCATGAGAAGGTTATGGAGTGGGTATGTTGGGGGTGGGGGTGACCCTCGGGAGTGTCTTAGAGCCAGGGGTAACTCAGGCATGGCATGTTGGGACATGTTGGGCTCTGACTGTTGACTGAGAAGCTGGTGCCAAGGGCTAGGAGCATGAAGAGCTCTGTGGGTCACAGAACCTATGGAGACATGACTACAGACAGGAGCAACCCTGGGAAAGATCCAGGGATCCAACGGGACTCTTGTATCGAGGCGACGAGGGGAAAGGTCCCAAATCCCCATTCAGGAATACATTGTCAGCTGCAACCACTGGGGAGAGAAAGGCACAGAGAGTGAAGGTCAGGGGACCCAGAAATCCAGACCCCTTCTGTTTCACCCAGAGGTTGTGGGGAAAACTGGAGGGAAGGGGCCAAGCTTGGAGCTGATGCATAGGGCTAAGAGATGGAGTACCCCATAGCCACTGACACCTCTGAGGGTCCTTACCTCTTGGATGTTCACCTGGATTTGTCCAGTACCATCTTTGTCAAGAGATTTGAAGGCACCTAGAGGAGAAGAGAAGGAGGGGAGAGTAGGGAAAGATATTCACTCTTGGGATAGTATTATATATGGGATACACATACACACTGCCGTCGATTTGGACCCAACTTGGGTTTCCGAGGTAGTATCACTACGGGAGTAGATTGCCCAACCTTCCTTCTGAGGAGTGGCTGGTGGCTTTGAACTGCCAGCCTTCTGGTTAGCAGTCAAATGCCTCAGGCACTACGCCACCAGAGCTCCTTTTATATATGAGATACTGTATTAAAAAAAAAAAAAAAACCCACTGCCATCCAAGGCATAGATCTTTATGGAAGCAGACTGCCACATCTTTTTCTCGTGAAGCAGCTGGTGGGTTCAA